GAAATACTCATAAAACAATGAAATTTAAAAAGTAAATTTGGTTTGTATTTTTAATTGGCTTTGGCAAAAAAGTATCCCCGGGGGGGGGGGGGGGGGGTTATAATTGGTATAAACCAATTTCCCCGACAATCATTTACCTGACACCCATTTCGTCGACGGCCATTTCACCGATAACCTATTTCCCCGACAGTCCACTTTCCCATTTCCCCAACAATTCATCTCGCCACAATTTTGGCTCGATTTTTGGTTAGGGTTGGCCCGTTTTATAGTTAGTGTTTGCTAGTGATTGTCAGTGAAATGAATTGTCTGGGTAATGGGCTGTCGGGGAAATGGGATGTCAGTGAGATGGCCATCGGCAAAATGGTTGTCGGGTAAATGTTGTCGGGGAAATCTACCAAATCACTAAAATACTTCTTGGAAACACTTTATACTACCAAGGAATCATGGGTAGTACCTTGGATTCATGAACATTTTATAGCTGGTATTCAAAGTTTACAAAGAGCAGAATCAATCAATAAAAATATTCATAACAAAGTTGATTGTTAAAATCACTATGTGATTTATTACTTAGCATCAAAGATTATGTAAAAAATAATAAGCATCTAGAAATGTTTAATATTGAATGGAATGTTTTATTTGTAATTGGAATACCAATATTAAATTCAAAAATTTTTAGCCAAATACCGTATTGGCGTGTAATAACGTGCATCTGCGCGTTATTTTGGGGCCCTGCGCGTTATTTTGGGACACGCATGCGCGGTAATTTGAATCATTTTGACAAATTTGGGTTATCCTGCTTTTATTAATGAATATGTATATTTAAGGGGTGTGTTATTTTGGGACGCGCATGTGCATTATTTCGAGTCAAATAAGCAGTTTTCAAAAAAAGACATGTTTCGAAATAACGCGTATGTGCGTTATTACGCGTCAATATGGTAGATGTAATTATTAAGAATTTTTTAACGCCTATAATGCTTAGCAAACAAAGGTCTCAAATAAATCAATCAGTTTGTTATGATATTAATTGAATTATATAGTGATAATTTATAATTATAATTCCGTTATTATAATTGTTAATTTAAAGTTTGCAGATCATTAATAAAAAAGAAATTGATTGCTTTCTGATTTCTAATTAATAATTGACAAATTTGAAAATTAACATTTTCATAATTTATAAATAAAGCTTAATAGTGAAAAATTAGTATTAATATTAGAAAACCAAAGCAAGATATAAAGTAAATTCTTTTTAGTTTATTGGCTGGAACTATATTTCAAAATACAATTTTAAAAGTATGAAATGTATGTGCTACTAGGACCCAAGAAATAGGTCATTATATAATACTGTTTAATAAAGATATATTTTTGTACATGTCTTTTGTTAGTTAATAAGAGGTTGTTATATTAGCACCTTTTTATATTAGAACTTATTTCAATATGTTACTTTCTATATAAAGGATAACAATTTTTATTATTATAATTTTTGTAACTTATAAAAATTTGAACTTATATTAAGAACAAAAATTTTTTATTTTTGGAAATATATGAAATCTTAAAAGATCTTGAAAAACTTTTAATAATAAAAATTTTTAAAAAAAAATTTTTAAATTTTATTATTCAAAAGTTTATTAATAATTTTAAAAAATTTTTATATTAAAGTTTATAAAATATGTTTTCAAAATATTCTATAATAAATATATACTTTATATTATTAATAAATTATTATTCTATTTGGTTGATCTTTAGTATAGATGGGTATATATAATTATTATACAATTATAATATATATAAATTAATTATTTTGAACTAATTTAAGTAATTTAATAAATTATTAGGGTTAGGGTTAAGGTTAGAACTTAAATTAGCTCAAATTAGTTAGGTTTTATATATTATAATCTTGTAATAATTTATATATGCCCACCTATACTAAAGAAGATCCTTTTATTTAAAAAATACTAAATATAATTTAATTTTTCAGACAAATTTGTCTAGAATATAGTTTAAGAGATAATTGTGATTATTTATTTGAGTAAAATTTCTGTTTTTCTTTTTTCTTATTTTTATCTTTTTTACTTTTTGATTATATTTTTTATTATATTCTTCTAGCCTTCTATATTTTTATATATATAATTTTTCTTTTTACTTTTTTACAAAAAGATATTATCAAGTTAACAATATTTATTATAGAGTAATAATTAAATCTATTTTTCAGTTTTAGTATTATTTTTTAACTTTATTTAGTTTATATAGCAGATTATTTAAAAGTATTTATAAAAATAACTAGAATATTATTATTATTTTTAAAAATAATATATTATTTGTAAGCAATATAAATTGCTAATAAAATATATAATATAGTTGTTAAAATAAAAAACCTCTTCTTAAATATCTTAATAAAAATATTTAAAAAATATTTAGAATTAATTAGATATATTAAAAAAATTTAACTACAAATAACTAGTAGTAATTATTACTAGTATATAATTAGCTAATAATAATAAAACAAAAAAATTTATTTCATTTACTTTAAGATTATAAGGTCTAAAGTTTTAGCAAGATATTAAATATATACAAAATTTAGCAAAAAATTTTTTTGCTAGAATGTCTAAGGTAGTTTTATAGATATATTCTTGAGATATTAGTATTTTTTTTAAAAAAAAAATCTTTATTTTTATTATACAAACTGATTTGTATATTTCACCTGATTTTGCAAATTTATTGACTAATTATATACTGATAATAATTCTGCTAGTTATAATTAATAAAATTTTATTAAAAATAAAATATTTATTAAATTTAAATTATAATTAAAAATATTCTATTTGTATAAAGATTGTCTATACACCAGTATTATTAGAAAGCCAATCAGATTATACAATTAGATATAATATAAACTTACTTCTTTTTTTAAAATATTACTAATATTTTAAAATTTTGATTATAAAACTATCTTTTAGCTTCTAACAAAAAATTTTTTGTAAAATTTTGATATAAATTATACTTGTTTTAATCTCAAGCAGACTCTTAACCTAACTATAAGTAATGGTTTAATTTTTATTTTATAAAAATTGTTTTGATTTATATATTATACAAATTTGCAAATTAATATCCATGTATATATACTATATATATAATTATAAATTTTTATAATTAAATTATTCTTAAAAATTTATATTTAAGTATATATTAAATAATTTATTATTACAAATTATTATAAATCAGATTATTATAAAGGGTTCAGATCTCATAGTTTAATAGATAAACTTCTATCCCCTACAGACAAGATTGATAGTTTGAATTTGACTAAAAGTAAAATACTCTATAATCTAAAAAGAAGCCTATTATTATATATAAAACATCGTAAAAGTTTAAATAAAGATATATTTTTGGTTTAAGGAATTTCTAAAAGAAAACTAGTATAGCAAAGCATAGGTACTACTATAGTAAGAAATGTAAAGAATGTTATTAATATTTATAAAAAAAATTAGCCATTTATAATATAGAATTATTTCTGGCATAAAAAATCTAAATAAGGTGTAGCTATAAAAAATTATTTTTTTTGGTAGAATCTATATCATGGGTAAAATAACCCAAAGGTCAGACTAAAACCTTAATTGAAAGTTCATATAATCAGAATAATATTAAAAATCAGAGAGTTTAAATAGAAGACCACAAGCAGGTCTCAGGTATGGCAATAAGTAGAGAATCTATGGATAGAACCCTTAAATAAACAATAACTAAAGTTGTATATGTGGCTTATTGTATTCTTGTTGATATGTTACTATAAACCTTTTTGTAAATATGGACTGCTGATACTTTCATAAAGAAAAAAACTTAACCAATAAGGTTATTTTATAAAAAAAAAACAAATTATTATAAAATTTAAATTTATTTTATATATAATTTTTAAAAATTTTTAAGACCTTTTGTTAACTTTTTTATAGCTAAGTTAGAATTAGATTATTAATAAAAAATATAGATAAATTTTAGTAAAACTTATATTTTTAAATTAAAACCTAAAATTTAATAACAATCTAATTTTATAATAATCTATAATATTTATTATGATAAATTACAGGTTTTTACTCTTATATACTTATTTGATAATATATAAAGTCACTTATTTTAATACGTATTCTATAACTGATAATAAATATGTTAAAAGCTTTAGCTTGAGAATATTTCTTTTCAAAACGGGTTTTGATATAGATTAAACTCCACAGTTTTTTTACTTCTATAACATATTTTGAAAATCCTTTTTTTATTAAAAAAAATCTTCAAAATTCCTACTAATATACAAGAAATAAAAGTTAAAAATAAAAGCTATAAATAAATAAAATTCCACCTAATAAAACAATTCCCAGATCCTTTAAGAATGCACTAAAATCTCAAAAGTAGATAAAGAGAATAAAGTAACTACACCTTATGTTGGTACATTTAAAAAATTGGTTGTGTATTATCGGGTCTTGGAAAAGACATTTCATAATCTTGCATGGAACTGTAGTATGAAAGAGTTTAGGATGATATTTGGGAGTTTCTAACATAATACTAAAAAAAATAATCATAATAAATTACTATTATCATATGGTTAATAAAAAAAAAAACTTTTTTTTGATCTACTGTATATACCAGGATTTCTGAACTTTTTGATAAATACGTTTTTGCCCTGGAAATTGGCATACAATAATTCACAAATCTTGTCAGAATTTAAACTCGGCCTTTTAAAAACGTCATTACTTATTGCTAGCTGCGTGATAATTGTATAATTGTAAATAAAGGAAATGCGCATACCATTTTTTTCTAATTCGTGCTTTAACAAAAGAATATATGACACTTTAAGACAATATATAAAATATTAGTATTAGGAAAGGGACTAAAAGAATAAAACACATAAAGAAGTTTACCTGACAGCTACAAAGTTAATAAAAGCGCATCCGACAGTGCACTTGTCTTTAAAATCGATACACAAGTAGACGAAATCGTATTGACCACAATGGGTTTCGTAAAGCCAATCCAACAGCATACGCTAAATTTTAAACAAGTAATGTAAGGAACAATGCAAAATATCCATTGATAATAGAATGATCGTACACCTGAGTATACTTGTTCGGAATGTTCCTGATCATGAGTGTGGTGCGATTATCAAGGCCTATTATGAAATGTTAAAATGATCTATACGGTAGATCGGATTTTTACATAGTTTACAATTCGCATATAATCAAAATTTCCTAGACCACAAAAATTGCCAATTCTGATTGGTTGAATCATATATTGACATATAAACATAAAAATACCATTTATAATTCTTTCAAGATCTAGGGTATTCTTCTCCGAGATAGCCCTGTTACTAGACGAGAAAACTACACTATTTTCAGGCGGGGATAGAGAAACCTTAGCAATATCTTCAGACCTATTTTCTAGGCCTGGTGAAAGAGCAATCAGAAACTGGCGCGGGGACGGAGGAATGACTAAACCAGTTTTTTGATAATATTTGAATTCTTCAGCCATGACTGTGATCCAGAATCGTACCATTGAACACGGATTTGAATCTCATATTTTTATAGCAAATTATAAATGTAATTAGAAACAAGCAAATTGTTTCCAAGTAACTTTTTTTTTTGTTTTAATTCTATATAGTTATAGAATTAAGATAAAAAAAATTAAAAAAGTTAATTGAAATAATTTGCTTGTATTGACCTCCTCATTCATAAATAATAAATTATAAAGTATAGGATTAAAATAATTGAATAATCACCAAGTACTGTATAAAATACCTCAATAATTGTGCCTTTATTGATTCTTTGGCGGCATGAGCAGCGCGTGTATCATAATATTCGATTAGAAAGACAAGAGTTTGTCCAGCTGGGGAATATTTAGCAATTCAAATCGTACCCACGTCGTCGAAACGATCCTAATGATAAAACGAAATTAATAGTCGGCAATAAATTTCCTAAAACGAACATAAATATATAGGATTTTTTTTTTACCAAGATCGTAGATTGAATTGATTGTGCGCCAATCCAAGAAAACCTGATGACACCTTTGTTCACCCAATCACATTCATTACTTTGGCTTTTTAGCAATTCCTATATACAAGTCACTCTCGTTATAGTGAAGATTTGTTTATAGTGAAGAATTTGTTTAGAACAAAATCATTATTAATAAACTTTCGTTCGATATAATGAAGTTAATTAGTAACCTCTCGATATAATATATATGAAGATTTTTTCTAAAACGGATACAAGTCACTCTCGTTATAGTGAACTCTCGATATAGTGAAGATCTTGATATAGTGAAGAATTTTTTAAATTCATTGCCATTATTATTAACTTTTCTCTCGATATAATAAAGTTTATATAGTATTCTCTTGACATAAGCTACAGTGAAGATTTTTTTTCTCAGCCCAATCCCTTCACTATAACGAGAGTAGGGTGTGCAACGGGTCGGGCCAAACCCGGTAATTTGCGGGTTGGGCCGGGCTTGTAAAATAATGGGTTGGGCCCGGGTATTATAAAGAGACCAGCAATACCCATTAAAAATATACAGTTCCTATTGGCCACAGGCATGTGTTTAAATTATAATTTCCGATTTAGTGATTTCGGCATAATATAGATTCTATAAATTGATGCGTATACACGTACAGAAACATAATGTTTCAAAACATCTTCGCTGGCGAATAATTAAAAAAAATTTATAAAGCTTATTATTCGAAAATTGCAAAATCTTAGATATTAGCATTTCTTTTATAAGTCGAGTCCTCAAGCACTTTCGAAGATATGGATGTATTAAAGACTTCTGAGACAGATATTAATAAAATCAAGAATTTTTTGAACGGAATTTTGAGTCATATCTTTAAGCCAATCAACAAAATTCTTGACCATATCTAACTTTTTTAATGTCGGCACTACTCGTGTAATATGTTTATTATAAAAGTCTATTTTATATCTGGAGCCTTTTAATATTTCTTGTCAATATTTTAGCCTTCTTTATAAGTTTTCTCACAAACTAAGCACACAAAATATTCAACCAAAAATTTATAATGTTGAGCATGTCAACATTTATAATGATAAAATTATCTGTATATATAAGGTTGGAAAATTATTATAATTTCGCATAAGTTTGTATAAGTTCTGAAGTTAAAATTGTATGTAATTTTTTTGTTACATGAATAATGCTGTCCAAATTTCTTGTAAAGCTTGCTCAAAAAGTCTAGTAATGCTGGCAAAACTTTTGTAATACTGGTGCAATAATCAGCACAATTTAATGCAAAAGTTACATATGTATGTGGGTACATGTATATGTACAATTTAGTAATTTTATTGAATCTATTATGCTGAGATAATAACTTAACTGGATTGGCCGAAAAATTCAGCTAATTTTTATTAGATATTTCAGAAATTATAATAATAGCAGAAAAAATTTTACATCAATTTGTGAACTATAATAATATCAAGTTATTAAAGTTACAAGTATTTTATCTACCCAGCCTTTATAAAAATTTCTTATCTAGTTACAGCTATTTCATAATCCCTGAAACATCTGATAAAAATTGACTAAATAATGCTTCAGATGATTTGATTAAGTTTGTGAATTTGGCATAATAGTGATAGGTACAATAAAATTATCAAATTATACAGTTAACTAGTATACTAGTATATGATTATTGCATCTGCATTACAAAAGGTTTGCCAGTACTCTGAATGTTTTAACCAATATTATTTACATGCAAAAATTACATATTAGAAATTTATATATAAAAAATTACACCAATTTCTAATATATAAAGACATATGATATTTGTTTTACAAATAATTGTAGTATTGTAAATGTCAATATATTCAATATTATTAAGATGTATATATATAATATAATTTATATACCAATTTGTATTAAATCAATAACTAAACCAGATTGACCAAAAAATTTGGTCAATTTTATCAGATGTTCTAGAAATTATGAAAATAGCTATAAATAGCTAATAGTGTATTGTTGTATTTAGAGCTAAGAGTCATCTAAGTATCTAATTAGCATCTATTAATTAGATCATAACTAGAGTTCAGTATGAGCCAGGTCAAATCTAGTATTTGCAATTAAGCTGAATTTAGGCTAGGCCTAGGCTAGGCTTATAATTTGACAGACTAGGCCAGGCCTAGATTTTTAGATTCATAATAAGTTGGGGCAGATCTGGGCTAGACTTATAATTTAATAAACCAGGTATAGGTTTAGACAAACTTGGCCTAACCTGGCCTATTGCAAACTTTAAACAAGAGTGACTTGTATAACAAAATATCTTATATTATAGTGAAGATTTGGCTATATAATATTAGAGTGATCATCAAACTAATAAAATCAAACTATAAGTAGATATACATATTAAATTTACTATATAAAGAGTTTTTATAGGTTTTTTAACAATTTCAGAAAATTTAGAAAATTCACTTTTTATAAATTATTTACTTTATTTATCAAACAAATTAATTTTTTATTTATTAAACAAATTATTTTTTTATTTATCAAACAAATTATTTTTCATTTATAAAACAAATTAAACAGTTTATTAGCTTCAATTTCTCCAAATACTACCTATTTATCATTATCATGTTTGTTAATTTTTTTTTATTTTTTTTGAACTGTCAAATCTTTATCAGATAGAGATAATTGTCTAATATCTAAAAGATATAATTTAGTTTTTTTGGGTTCAATATTTATATATATATAATACTTAAAATCATACTTGTTGAATAAACCCTCAACATGCTATTAATAAATAATGATATAATAAATTCAGCATTTAACAAATTTATAAAGTAAAGAAAAATTGTGAATCAGTAAGTTAAAATCAGCAAAGTCAAGTAATTCTTGTAGAAATAATGAATATTTTATTGCTTCTAGTAAACCAAAGTTATTAAAATTAGATTGTTTAATATCTAATTCTAAAATAAACATATAATATAATTTTTTAAAGTTAGAAATTTAGTTTTTCTGTCACTTTAACCTTAGCTTTTTGCAAATTTACAACTACCTTTACTATCTAATCAGTACACACTTAGTAGAAGATGAATTTACATATTTAACTATTTTTAGAGAATTTATAGCCTTATTAATACCATCTTCTAAATTATTAAAAAATTGCTCAAATATTTTGTTGTCTAAAGCATTTGTAGTATTTCACAATTTATTATCAAAAAACAAACAAATATTATCTTAATATTATACAATTTTTCTATCTATTTAATATATTTGTTAGACATCTTATAAGCTCATCAACCAAGTAGAAGTGGCAATAATTGATTATCTGATTGAAGAATTTATAGTTCTTTATCAAACTTAGTAAAAAAATTCATTATAAGTTTATAAATTTTTTTACCAAACTTTACAAAGTATTCAATTTGTATTTTTAAATATAGATTTATAAGCTAATACTGAAGAAGTTTCTATTTTTAAAATATGATTTTAGAATTTTTTTGTAACTTTAAATTATTTAAAAACTAACTAGTAAATTTTTTTATATATTTTCTTCTTTCTACTAATTATTTTATTGCTTGCAATTCATATAGCTATCATTATCATAACTTTTAGAATTATATTAAATATATACTGAATAGTTTAAAATATAAAATATAACTCAAAAATATATAACAATTTCTTATTCTTGTTATTTTTAGTATAGCTATTATATAATTACCAAATAAAATAAAGTAAATTAAATAGATACTTTTGAGTTAAAAATCTTTTTTCAACTTTTAATTTTCTTAATGTGGTATTCTTAAAATTTAATATCATTATATATGCTGAGTGAAATTCATATAATATTTGAAATAAATTAGAGCTAACCTCTTTATTAAATAATATTACTATACTATTTTTGCAATCTAATATATATGCTATATTATCAGTTATCTAAGTTAAATATTTATTTAGATCTAACTAATATTGGTTATATGATTTAAGAATATTATTTGCAACTAATGATTCTATATATTATGATAAGTTTTCAAGTTTTAATAAGAAAACTTTTAGTTCATTAGCAACTAAATTTCAATATATAAAACATATAATAAAAACTTAACTATTATCACATGTTAACTCTTCTGCTATAATTTCGAAAGTAAACTACTTGAAAATTTTAAAGATAGCATATTGCTGAATTATATAAATATTTTTTTTTTTCCTGTTTAAAGGCCAGGTACTATGGCCGATTTTTTATTATGAGTCAACGTAATATTTGTTACATGAGCGAGGATACAACTAGCCACACGTGC